TGAATTCTATGGTTCTGCCAAAATAACCAAAATGTACTTTATGTTAACTTCTCATAAAATTAATACTAAATACTGATCAGTGATCTCAGTGATTAAAAATATCTGAACTAAAGTTTCAGTTCACATTTTTTTTGAGTTTTCTTAATGACAGAAAGATTTATAGAGGAAAGTAGTAACAATATTATAAAATTTATGCTTAAATAATATTATGCTTAAATAAACAAATAAAATATAAATTTAAAAATTTATATTTTTAAAATATAAATTTTATTAAATATAAATAAAAATTAAATATAAATATATAAATAAAATATAAATTTAAAAATTTATATTTTATTTGTTTATTTAAGCATACTAGATACACTCCAAGATGCAGGAAAAATTTATATTCTTAGGAAATTAGTTAAGAAACTCGAATTGTAATTTTTTCAATAGTTTTCCCCTGAAAACTCATATATCTAATTATAATTTAAAAGAATAAAATAATATCACTGAACTACACTAACTATTCAAGGATCACAATATAAAACTGCAAGTACTCTACATATCAAATACAATATTTCAATCCATTGGATTACCAGGTTGTTCAATAAGTTTTGCTGTTCGATAAGAGGTGGCGCTATTAGGATCATCACTTTATTTCCCTATAAATAGTACTACTATTTCATAAACACATGTCAAGTTTCAAGTAGATCCGTCAACTCATTGTATATTTGCAGCTGTTCAAAGTTGACGTGTCACTGTATTTTTTTACAATGGAAAAAATTGGATATCGTGCAGTGATAAAATTCTTATTTTTGGAAGGTGTAGCACCAAAACAAATTCATGAACGATTGTTAAAAGTGTATAAGGACTCTTCACCTTCAATCAGAACAGTAGAAAGATGGGTTGCTGAATTTAAACAAGGTCGTACGAGTCTTGAAGACGATCCACGTGAAGGACGTCCAAAAAGTGCATCAACACCAGAAATCGTAGCAAAAATACAGCATATGGTTTTGGAAGATCGTCAATTAACCGAGAGAGATTTAGTAGAAGCCCTAGAAATTTCGTTAGGCAGTGTGAGCAATATTTTGGCCGAAGTTTTGGGTTACAGAAAGCTGTGTGCATAATGGGTGCCACATTCGCTAACTATGAAACAAAAACACATTCAAATGCAACTTTCTCAGCAACATTTGGAGCGCTTTAGAAAGGATAAAAAGGATTTTGTGCGTCATTTCATCACTATGGATGAGACTTGGGTCTACCACCATGATCCTGAATCAAAGAGGCTCAGGAGTGGTGTGAACCCGGCACTTCAGCTCCGAAGCGAGTTAGGGTCCAGAAATCGGCCAAGAAGATGTTAGCATCAGTTTTTTTGGGATGCAAAAGGAGTTTTGTTTGTGGATTACCTCCAAACTGGTAAAACAATAAACTCAGATTATTATTGTAACCTTTTGGACCAGCTGGATATAAAAATTCGTGAGAAAAGACCTGGTTTAAAAAAGAAAAAAATCATTTTTCATCAAGACAACGCACCCTCTCACACTGCTCAAAAAACCATTGTGAAAATCAGTAAATTAAAATATGAATTGTTGCAACATCCTCCCTACTCGCCAGATTTAGCTCCCTCTGACTTCTAGCTGTTCTCACATCTCAAAAAATTCATGCGTGGGAAACGATTTTCATCGAACGAAGAGGTAATAGCAGCCGTGGAAGTGTATTTTGACAGTCTTCTGGATTCTCACTTTAGGGATGGAATCCATAAATTAGAAGATCATTGGAACAAGTGTATTGAAGTTCAGGGAGATTATATTGAATAATAAAATGTATTTCAAACCATAAAATTGTGTTTTTCTTATCAAACGACAAAACTTATTGAACAACCTGGTATATACTGGAAATGGTCTGAACTGAGGTCAAAAACATTATGTATTAAATAACTTTGATAATCTTCCTAGCAGTTTTGCTTATTGGTGATAAGTTTCACCTATTTCCATATCAAAGTCAAATTGTCTAGCCATTATTTTTTGTATACTAAAAATTTACCTATAAATATAATTATATTTATGCTATATAAGTTTATCATAAAATATTTCATGTTATAGTAAAAAGTTAACTCATATATTAATATATTTACTGGTTTTGTTTACAAATAAAACTTTTAAATCAGAAATAATATAAAAATTGCTAATTTCTTTAAAAACTTTGATTAAAACGTTATAAATTAAAACTTTTTTCCTGTTTATTATTTTTATTGCCATTCAGAATGATAACTGTATCAACTAAAATGGTCCAAACAATTTTATATAATACTGATAGTTTTCAATGTGAGAATAATGATTAATATAATATAAGTTATGCAAAAAATTCCATTAAAAAAACTACATTAATTTTTAACTAATTGGAAAATAACAATTATTTTTCAGAGCAAAAAAATGCTTCTTTTACTTTAAAAATTTTGGGAATTAAATGCAAAGTTCAATAGGAATTTTCCTTCCAATTTTACTGTAAAACTATAAAAGCTACAAGAGAAAATCAATAAATAAGTATAATCTTTTATGATACTGTTACAAAATAATTTGGAGGAACAAAACAATATCTGTTTGTTGACATAGTCCTATTCTTTTGAATGCATGTTTTAATGGCATACAAGCTTCCGGATGCCTTCCAAAAAACTGCTTTCAGTTGGACTCTAAGTCAGTCCAAAACACTTCCTATATCTCTGTTACATGATACTTTTTGACCACAATACATCCCTAACTATCACTCTTTAGGAGTGATAGTCAGGGATGCTCAAATTGTCTCAAATCCTAAGTATTCTGTGGTGTTGTGCAATGGTATGGAAAGTAGCATTGTTGTGGATTAACAAGATATCTTTTGACAGTGGCCATCTTGGTTTTGACCACCCAACTGAATTCAGTCTTGTTCAAGCATGTTACTATATCTAACACTGGTCACATTTTCACTTTTTCTCTGAAAGTATCAAAAAATAGTCAACATCACATTTCCAGTAGAGGGCTGATAATCAAACTTTTCCATGACAATTTTATTGTGTCTGATGATGATGTTTCCAATGCATGCATGGATTGTTTTCTGCTTTCTAGTTTGTAACGAGATGAACTAAGGATTCATCACCTGTCACAATGTAGGTAAGAAATTACTCTCCTTTAAGAATGTAATGGTGTAAATGTTTCTCACAAGCATGAATGAAAGTTGTATTTGTTCATGCTTGTGATTTGTTGTCAGCTGTTTTGGAACCCATTTGCTGCAAATCCTATAATATCCCAGCTTGTTATGTATAATGCTGTAGGTCAATATGTGTTAAATCTTTGGCAATATAGTCAGTTGTGATTCTTTTACACTCATGAATTCTCTGATCAATCCTTCTTTCACCATATCAGTCACTACAGTGGTTAGGCATCCAGAATGGTTGTTGAAGTTCACATTCTCTCTTCCATTCTGGAATATTTGTACCAGTTGATATACAGCCTCTTGACTAAAACAATTATCACCAAACTGTGCTTTTATTTGGCAATAAATTTCAGCTAGCTTCATTTCCTCGGCATTCAAAAAATGAACAACACTATACTGCTTCTTAGTAGTGCAATTTAAGTGTGGTGTGACCGTTTTGAAATTATACTGCCAGTTGCAATGTTGCACCATGACAACTGTTTAATGCAAGTGGAAAGAACCACTATGGTTCACAGATTTGCAGATTTCTTTACATTCTAATTGTAAGAGCAGTTATTACATTACATTTTTTTTTTAACTTTTTTTTGTATTTTTTCCAAAAAATGTGTTTGTATAAAGTAAAGTGAGAAAGAGACAGATGAAAAATTTCTGCTAAATTATGGCTTTTATTGTAGAAAAATATTCCATTTTATTTATACAAAATGGATGTAGGTAAACTATATTTTTATATATAGATATATGGGTAAAATATATTTTCTTTCTCAAAAAAATATTTTATTTGAATGTTAAATTACATATTGTGTTGATTTAACCTTTTCACTTTCTTTATAAATATATAGTAAAGGAATTTTATATTTAAAGTAACTTTTAAAAAAATTACACAAATTTAAGAAATGCTAAAAATTTAATCATGATATTTCGGAATAAATATAATTTACAATCTCTCTACACACCAGTGTTTAAATAAAATACTCCTCAAACCTTTAACTGGAGTGCTTCTATTTTTAGAATTGCAAACGTTTTTGTTGCCCCTCCTGGGCTCTTCTTCAGGCTATAACGAATGGGCCTTTAATATTCAAATAAACATTCGATATGAATCTCTTCCAAATTCTATCCTTTGAAATCGTTCCGAAGTTGTGTTGCGCATGCTCCATATTCATCTCTTTAAACGCCATTATCCATCAAAATCTCTTCTGAATTCTATCGTTGTATTGCGCATGCTCCATACTCATCTCTTTAAATGCTGTTATCCAGCAAAATCTGCCATGCTATCGATAGGGTCATTTCCTCTTTATAATTAATACACGTACCGTTTCTTCCCACCTTAAATATCTCCATGGCTTCTAGCCATTTTAGTTGTTGTGGGTTGGAGTTGGTTATAATGATTTTTGCCGCATGCAGGTCCGCCGTTATTTCCTGTTCTGAAGAAGAGCCCAGGAGGGGCAACAAAAACGTTTGCAATTCTAAAAATAGAAGCACTCCGGTTAAAGGTTTGAGGAGTATTTTATTTAAATATAATTTATTTAACTAATGCTATTGTTGTATTTATGAAAGAAAGTAAATGAAAACTGTTAATCTGATGACTCTACAGTTTATTTTAAGAGATATTTTATTTTTAAATCTATCCATTGAGATTTAAGAGATAATTTATTTAAGATTTGTATAGATATCATATAGATATTAATACCCTTTGTTAAAATTAATTTATTCCATTTACATTCTTTATCCCTTTTACAATTATTTTGGTTTTGATACCTCAAAAAAATTATACATTTAACATATTTATAAACTAATTTCTCTAAAATATTAAAATAATCATAAACAATTACTTTTGAACTGAATGTTGAGAAAGAGGTGATTCATGTTTTCGAACTGCATAAACTCCTTTTTGATTTTCTATTGCCAACTGATCCATTAAATCACTGAGTTGAGTATACATTTTGAAATTTCCAGAATGAAAATCCACTTCTGCTGAGAATAAAGTTTGTAGATTTGACACAAAAAAGGGTATTCGGCTAAAAAAATTTTAAATATTTAATAAGAATTTCTCTCTATATATCTTTGTATAAAATTTCTAAAAAAAATAATTTAAAGTAAAATTATTAACAAGTTAATGGTCATTGATAACATGCATCATCATTAACTACATATAGCAGCAGATGTTTCAGTAATAAATACTATAAATAAGCCAATACTTATAATTTGATATAATCCTAATTAAACATTTATGATTTTACAGGAAAAAAAGGCTTAAAGCTCAATGTCCTCAATTGTGCTTCAAACTGTATGTTTCCAAATAATTTTAAATTACTATAAATTTCTTGCATATAAACCACAGAAAATTACTAAATGAAAATAAAACCTTTACATAACCCTCACTGCATTAAGGCAGCTCCACACATTCAATATTTGCCAAAGGCTAAACAAACATTTGGCCAATACTTACAAGGGAATGTTTTCTTGTGTCAGGCTTACATTTTAATAAAATATATAGCCAGGGTGGCCAAGCTCCTTGATAGTCCGAGCTATTTTTCAAAATTTGGAATTTTTCGCGAGCCGCAATTAAATACGTATTAAAAAGGTATGCAAAAAATTCCAGATTACAAATTATATCTGTAGCAAGAGTGATACAAATTGTTTTTCCTCCAGAGAACAATGTCAACTGTCCATTGCAATGAGAGTTTACAAATTCAAAATCAGTCTGAAGTCGGTCGATAACGGACGATTACGCCACTGTTTATGTTCGTTCATTCACGCAGTTTTCGATGAGTCATATCATTCTTAACTTGGACGGAAATGAAATTTGTTACAACGTTGCACTTAGTCTTTTATATTTGTTGTTAGTAATTTAAAAAACATTTTGAAACACATACGGAACGATAATAATTTTTTAAATATAATAACACAAAAATGAAAAGGGAACTCTGGTATATTTATCGAGAGCCACAAATAATCCTTCAAAGAGCCGCATGTGGCTCGCGAGCCGCAGGTTGGCCACCCCTGATATATAGTAATAAAAGGAAAAATTAAGAAGACCCATATTTTTTCTTTTATCTGTCAGTTCAGCCATTCATGAAAAAATATGGTTTTAAAATGTCCTAATTCACAGAAATATAGCACTGGTGGCAAAGTGCAGCATTGTGGCCAGACTGGGAATATTGAAGGATTGATTCTGCTCGAGATTTTTACTTTTTATGGTTTAATGTAAATGTTAAAAAAAAAAAAATTACAATGTTTAATTCTCATTAATTATTTACAATGAGAACTTGAAATGAAGCGTTTCTATCACAATCTTCTAATGAACATTTCATTTTGGTAAATGTAAAATTTACATTGATAATATTAGAAAAACTTGTAATGTTCTCTTCTGTCACATAGCCTGACTTCTGACTTGCATATATTAACATATGCTTAAAAATAGAAGCAAATAATTGGTTATTCCAGTCTAGCCACAATGCTACCACAGCACCATCAATGCTGTATTTCTATATGAATTACAACATTTTAGAACCCTATTTCTCTCAAACGGCTAACCTGACAGATAAACGAAAAAATATGGTTCTTCTTATTCTTTTCTCTATCATATGAGATATATTTTATTAAAATGTAAAACTGACATGAAAAAACCATCCCTTGTTAGTAATGTCGATGATTTACTTGTGATGAATATTTGGTATTTACTATTTCTCATTTCTTGTTGGTGTATTGTGCCAAATCAAAAGAGAATATAGTCAATTATTTGGCAATCAGCAAATATCAAATGTGTGAAGCTGGCTGCAATTCTGAATTTTCCATTGAAAACATAACTGAAATGTAATTTAGATTTTGTCTCATTGTTTTCTTCTCCCATTTCTTTTGCTTTATTTTTGTTAGAAATTCACTGTATATGTAGTTATAAAATAACTGAAATGGAAAAAATTGAGATAAAATTATATAAACTGCATTAAATATCAGAAATATAAAATGGCATTAAATAGCAATTTTGTTGTTGTTTTGTTTCATTTCTGTTTTCTTTCTCAAAATACATAACAATAAACATGCTAAATGCTAAAATAGCCTAATATTTAACAGAAAAACATTTTAACATTGATATCTGCAGTATACTTTATGTTTGAAGAACCCCTTGGTGTCAAGACAAATCTGGGATGGCAATAAGTCTAGTATAGGAACAAGTCTCCTAGCTGGAATGATTTCTTACCAAATGCCTTACCAGATATACAGTGAATAGGAAAAATAAATAATTTCTGTGAACATCATTATTGTTGACTTTACTAAAAAAAAAAAAGTGCACATAAAACTCTACAGTATCCAACAGCATGAGTCAAGAGTAATAAGAGTTGACCACTTAGCTCTTATTCACTGTAGAGAACAAATATACACTAAAATTATCACTAGTTTCTAAATAGTTCTCTGAGAGGCATCACTAAAATTAACACTAGTTTCTAAATAGTTCTCTGAGAGGCATTACAAAAACAGGGAGGAATTATTGGAAATTAAGCAGCTGTTAAAGACATAAGTTTAAGTAGGAATGTCTAATAATGCCAACTAAAATGTGGATTGATGTAAAGAAAATAGGAGAGAAGTATAGTTGAGGCAAAAATATTAGTTTGTTCAGAAAGTAAGTTCGTTGTTTTTATCACTAGACGGATTAATCGTATTTTTCCCGCCATTTTCATTCTAAACTGTATTATCATTATATATTTTGACAGCTAGCATTTTAAGGCTTATTTGTAAAAAATTTTGTTTGATTCTGTGCAATTGTTTATTTTTTGTGTCCCATCAAATATGAAAGATCAAAAGCAGCATTTTCAGCATATTTTGTTTTTTTATTACCAAAAAAATCAAAATGCTGTTCAAGCGAGAAAAAAATTGTGGTACATGTATAGAGATGATGTGTTGAGAGAACAACAATACCAAAACTGGTTTACAAAATTTCGTTCTGGCAATTTCAATATTAAAGATGCACCATGTTCTGGATGGTCAGTTGAAGCCAATGAAAACAAAATAAAAGGTACTGATTGAAGCAAACTGCTGAATAACAACACGTAAAATCACTAAGAGATTAAATTTGTCAAATTAAACTGTATGACTACTTGAAACAAACTGGTTTTGTTTAGCTTTATATATGGGTTCCATATGTTCTTAAAGAGAGATGCTCTCTTTGGTGGGATTTTAAGGAAATTTTNGATGTTTGTGTAAATTCATTAAACTCATCTTTTAAATTTTATCATTCTATTTTTCTTTATGGTGTCAGTGAATTCCTACAGACAGGATTTGTTCATGTTGGAAAATAACAGACTAAAATATAGGATGTAATAAGATGTAGAATGAGATTACTAGAGAAAAGATAGAAATACACTTTGATCTAAAAAATTCTTTGTTCTATTACCATGGTAAATAATTTAAGGCAGTGTTTTCCAATATGTAGGGCATGAGACTATTGCAAGGGGTGCGCAGCTTTTATCAAATTATCATTTTTTAATACAAAAAACAAAAAAGTCAAATTGATGTAAAAATTTCTCCACAACACCGTATTAACGCTAATACCAGAAACGACAACAGGTATTTGACCAAAATAGTTGATATATAATTCAATAAAATATTTATTTATTATAAAATTGGGTTGTTCAGAACTTACTTTCCGAATAACCCAATATATATGCCTTTGATGGTTTCCTGAAAAACTGCAATGACTGCATATATAAAATTTAGTCTAAAACTAGATCTTACACTTAAAAAGAAAGTCCATTTGACATTTTCTTCATTAAATCTAACAAAACCTTATTATTATATTTTCTTGTTATTATTCTCCAATTATTTCCTTTAGTTCCCTATTTCTTATTCTCCCAGCAATATGTACATTACACACATCTACTTTATGAATCAAGCTGTCATGGTAGAAACTTGAAAACTTTTAAGCATTTACTAACAAAACAAAGCAATTGCTGTTGAATTTATCATATCACTTTAGCTTTTACTTCAGAAGCAAGTAAACACACTACCTCTTACTATTAGTATAAGTAAAAGCTTTTGCTTTTATTTGCAGGTGAAATGAAAGCTAGTTATCATTGATACAACTAAGCTATATGAATCATCTTATCTTCAAGTAAAAACTTATGCTTAACTTTAATCACATGACCCATGTGCTCTATAACTTTTATTAATTTTATTTTTTATTGATACTGAAAAAAGCAATAACATTAAAATTTATCACTTACAATACATGTCTCCAATACATATATTTTTTTTCTATAAAACAAACCTTTTCAGTAAAGTTTTTCTTTTGTAAGAAGATATTTTTGGTATTTGGATCTTATATTGTAACCAGGCATTGCCAATGGCAGAGCTGCTGTTTGCACTTAACACTGGCACTTGTTGCATGTATGTATATTTTTTTAGTTAGTACATAAGTTGCACATATTTGGAGTGCCTTTAAATGGGTTGTGCAGAAAAAGGCAGGAGACTGGTTGGGGATTATTATACAGCCTCTTGGCATGGTAATGCATTGCTTTTGTGTTAATGCATATTGTAACTATATACCATATTTACATACGTATAAGATGATCTCGCATATAGGACAATGTGTGGCTTTAAAGATCAAAATAAAGAAAATTAGATTTATTAATACAATTCTAGTTTTATTTCATTTAATCACAAATAAAATATCAAATGCATGTAAATGCACACATTGTCCTGCAAAAATTACTGGCATTTTAAACTTTAAGAAAAAATCTTGTAAAATCAACAACATAATTTGTTAATGTAAAGCTGGACAATCAGGAACCTTTTTGCCAATTCTTAACAGTCAAATCTATTCTCTGTTGATTACACTTATGAGTTTCTCTGAATTCTGATTTCCAAATAATCATCTGTTTTCATGTAGGAATGGATTAAAACTTATATCGAGCTTCTGTGTGATTTTGGAATTTGAATTTGGAACCTAATTCAAAAGCTTTGCTTTTCCTATTGCTATTCACCTTTACTCCTGACAATACACAAGAATGATTCAAATGTCCCAGATAAAATATTTTTGTTTTTAAACACCAGAGGGTGAGCATCTGGTAAAAAATGTGAATACATAGTACACAAAAATTATTGCAAAAACGCAAAGAATCCTTCTCTTGCACGTATAGGATGATCTAAGTTTTTGAAGCAGTGAAAAATTATATCCGACTCACCAAATAAACCATATCCAGTTCATAAGCCAGCAGAAAAATTCTTTCTACAAACATTTTCATCTATATGTAATAGACATCCTCAGGTAGTGACGATATCGAACTAACGGCTAGTCGAATAGAACGTTTTTGAAAGTTCCGTTTAACGACGTATTCAAATATGATGCGTTAAAATTAAAACATGTAAAATGTATTTTAACGCATCATATTCGAATATGTCGTTAAACGGAACTTTCAAAAACGTTCTATTTGACTAGCCGTTAGTTCGATATCGTCAATACCTGAGGATGTCTATTACATATAGACGAAAACGTTTGTAGAAAGAATTTTTCTGCTGGCTTATGAACTGGATATGGTTTATTTGGTGAGTCGGATATAATTAAAATTAAATAACCAATTTTTTGAAATACAGTACCTTTTATTAACTCCCAGTTTATATTGGGATACATAATTTTTATATCGGGATACATAATTTTTATATCAAGACTCATTAATTTATATACTTTTGTTATGTTAACAGAAGTAATCATATTAATATAGATTCTCTAAAAAAAAGTAAGTGTGGTATGTAAATTGGAATGTAATTGTCAGAACCCATATATGTATATAGGAGAAACTGGCTGTGTATTGGATGTTAGGATAAAAGAACATGAAGCAGCTATTCGTTTAAAATATAATAATTCCCCATGGTATGAGCATACAAAAGATAGTAATTGTAAAATCAATCACAGTTATATTAAAATTTTACATTATGAAAAAGACATGTATAAATGAAAATTTAAAGAACATTTAGAAATAAAGAAGAACCAAAAAAATAATTTAATAAATAGTTCAGATGGTATGTTAATTGATTCTCGTTGGTACAGACTGATAGAGGGCGTTACATAGAATTAAATTATTGCGANCCATCCCATTGAAGGATCATCGATGTGATGAACAGCTATTATACATTGGATCCACTAAACGCTCGTTATCTGTCAGATTAAAAGAACACATCGCAGACATACAGCATGGAAGAATAACCACGGCACTCGCTCGTTATGCCACAGATCCAGATATCGAACCTAAGTTTAGTGAGGCTAGAATCATTCACACCACACCACATACGGAACATCTAAGATGGATAGAGGCAATGTCTATATATAAAGCGGCCCGAAACAACAGGTGCATTAATAATAAGGAGGAATTATCTCTATCCCTAGCGTGGGAAATGCTTATACAGGACAGAGAAAATATTCTATAAAAAGAAAAATGTTTACATCGGTAAAATACGCATGCGTATTGATGACGACAGCGGCAGAATTCATCGTATTAGTTGATCGTTTCTCATTCAAATTTGGATTCCATCGAATGTTTTTTGAGTATTTAAGTTTTTTCACCTGAAGAAGAACCTAAGTGGGTTCGAAAACGTTTGTGGGAACTTTTTAACCGGATTTTTGTATTTAATTTCGCACCGTAAAGGTTTGTGGTTGATTAATTTTGATGTAAAAAAATGAATCAGCAGAATGGTTATGCCTAATTCACAACCCTCGTCTGACAACTTGGGTATGAATGCTAAAAATCCAACCATACTCTTGCCAAAACACCTTGACAAGAATCGAGCCCCGATGAACAATATACTTTATTTAATAAAGTATATTGATTTGCAGGTCATTAAATAAATTATAAGAACAGTATTTATGAAATTAGATTGTTACAAAAATTGAGGGGGTGCAACAAATTTTTTCTGAAAAAGAAGGGATGGAGGTACAGAAAGTTTGGAAACCACTGATTTAAGGAGTTGTCTCTCAAAAACATAAGAAACTCTCAGAGAAAAGATACCAGAAAATACCTATTTAAAGCATTAAATTAAATCATTAAGGGAATAACAAAACATTTATAAAATAACAATACAGCCTAGCTACAACTATCTATACAAATACATATTCCACAAACACTATCCCAAATTGGATATATGCAATAAAAGAACAAAAATATTTATTAAAAAACAAACATTTTCAACCTTTATAAATGCCATCCTCAGGTTCTACTGGTAGAATGGAAAATTGAACAATAAGATATATTTAAAAACATTCATTGCTAAGAAGTTTACATACACAGGAGCTTAGTAATATATTATAAATTAAAACAGAACATTAAAACATTTTAAAAAATATATCTTGCTGTTTGATTTTCCATTCTACCATTAGAATAGGAGGATGGCCTTTATAAAGGTTGAAAATATTTCTTTTTTAAATGTTTGTGTTCTTATATTATATATTCCACTTCTTTACGTTCCTATGTGTGCATGTGCTTTGTTTCTGATTACAGTAAAGTGAAGATGAGGATTGCATGTTATTTCATAGACACAACTATTTTATGTTACTTTATGTTATCATTCCATTGTGAAATGGAATGATAACATAAAGTAGTGTAAATATCATACATTCCAATATAAAAAAATTTTCTGAAAACAATACAAAAAAATATTCCAAGAGAATTCAAATGTTTTGCAAGCTTAATCAGACCATATTATCTGCAACTGACTAAAAATGATGCTATAATTTGACTGGTCAATTGAGGCATCATTTTTGGCCAGGCCTGTTTTATGTAAACACTATGTGCTTCATTATCATCATTATATTATTTTAAAATTAATTTATTCATAAATGTCATTATAATTTATATTCTTAGAAATACCTTTCATATAAAGCAGGTAATTCTTCATGCAGATCATTGTTTAAAACTTCATACAGTTGCTTTGCTGTATCTAATTCTTCTTTTGCCTGATTAGTTAAAACATACTATTTCAATTTTCAATGAAATAATAACTAAAAATGAAATTTATTTTAGAATGTAATATCATGTTTAAATTTATTTTCAAAGTAACAGACCTTCATTATTATATGCTAAAGCTGAAAAGTTTAGAAAATCAGCAACTGAAATAAAGTTTCTGCAGCCAAAATATTGAAAAAATTGAGCAAGAGAAGTATACAAAAGAAAGATGAATGCCTAAAACAGAAAAGATAGAAATTAAGGAAGTAGCAATTAAATGTAAAAAGTGAAATATTAATAAGCAATAAGCTTTAATAAAAATAAAGATTTTGAAAGCATTTATTTCTAAAACAAATAAAATGAAAAAAATGTAATTCAAAACTTTTAATATTGCCATCTCAATTTTTATTGTTTCTTATTTACTTTAGATTTTGTAATATAAAATAATTATTAAAAATTAAATACATTAATAATAATAATAAATTAATTTTTTAGTTAAAATATTAAAATATAAAGTATGTTAGTTATTTAGCTAGTACATAAAAATGGCTTTATAGTCAACTTGCATTAATAGAAATTGATAGTGAAACAATAATTGGTTCACTTTATTGAAAATTTGTATAAACAATTTTCAGGGTCAAGGTCATATAATTTACAGAGTTAAGGCTTAAGAGGCAATTGAAATATAAAATTTTTACAGTATTTTAAATTAACTTATAAAAAAAAAAGTTAAATAAAATTAAATTTATTAACAAAAACAAATTCTAAATAATTTTTCAAATCAAACAAAACAAGGAGGAGATGGTATTTGTTGTTTAAGTGTGGAACAGTATTTCAGAGTGGTTAAACAAAACAAAGCTAAATAAAATTCATAATTGTTTTCCTGTTGTAGATTATTAAAAAAGTAGAAAATATTTTTGACATCAAAAGAATAAAAATGGAGCCAAATTTGGTGCAAAGTAGCCAAATCTAGCATTACCATATGCACTCCCAATGTGTAAATTAGCATGTATTTGCATGGGACCACATCCGTTTATAGTGGTGGGCATCCTTAAACTTTAACCCCTATTTTCTGAGTAGAGTAGAATAGTCTGCTAAAACCAGATGTTTGAATTACAATCAGAGATCAAACCCATCTTTGTTTACTAGGAGGAGAAAATTTATTCTACTCAAAATAGAACACATATTACGGTACCATTTTTTATTGTTCATGTCAAAAAGTGTAAAAAGCAACCATAATTAAAAATAGGGTTATTTCTAGAGGATTGTAGTGATAATTTACAGTTTGGTTTAACAAATTCTGGTAAAATTTCTGTTCACTTTATCATGTAAAAATTAATGTTGTGATAATGGCATTTTGCCAGGGCAACAGCAAAATTTGCTTTAATGCGAGAATTCACTTTATAGATCTTCACTTTAAGGCCAGTCAATTGTATTGTACTTCTGTAACCAAAACTTTTTGCTGAAAATTTATTTTCATTAGAACAGAAACCTAAAATTATTTCAAAATAAATTCATTATAAAAATGGGACTACTGATTTCATAATTTAGTAATTTATGTTTATATAATCACAAAATAAAAATACTTTGAAAGTAATTATTAAAATATATCCAATATAAAATGAAAACTTTTAATATTAAAACATTATTAGATATCAAAAATTAGCAAACTAATCAATAAAATCTAATCAAAATCAAACAAATCATTCTCATAAGATAATCAATAAAATTATATTTATTTTTAATGCACAAGCACTAAATTACATTATTATTAACTCTCTAACCTAGTAAATTTTAGAAATAATAATAATTATTTTTAATATTAATGTAATTATGAAAAATATTAAAGAAAAATATCTTTATTTTGAAATATTTGAAACAGAACTTCTGAAACTGGTAAATATACTTAACCTACAATCACATGTAATAGCAGCAATTTTCNAAATATCTTTATTTTGAAATATTTGAAACAGAACTTCTGAAACTGGTAAATATACTTAACCTACAATCACATGTAATAGCAGCAATTTTCTGCACCTATTTGTTTTTTTGCAGACATTTTTCACCAAATTGACTTACTTAGCTGTGCTTCCATATCATCTCTCATGCTACATGCTATCCGCATAACCATGTAAAAATTTTGATTGAAAAAAACTTTTTCTGCTTATTACTGGACCTAAAGAACTGCTGGGGAAAACTGCCACAAAGCACGTGATCTCATACAATTTTTCTCTATTGTCACAAAAACACATGCATAATGTGGCAATTTTCCACTCTAACATCATTTTTTGGTGATCTGACATCATCAAAAATGATGTCATGGCAGTCTTATATGACCACAAGAGGTAGTCATGATATAAATGATGTTTGTCAGTTATGCATTACATAATGAAATGCATGGTAGTCTGCAAGTTGCTACAACCTTAAACACTTGTCTTCATAAGATAGCCTGGAGCACTATGGCCTTCAACAATTTAAATGTTTTTGCAACTTTATTTTGTGCTAAAAAAAATTATTTTCTGGTCCTTGTGAAAAACACTTAGTCTTCCCATCACTTGTTTACATCTGAACATTAGCCCAAGCTATTGCATAGTTTGAAGGGCACCCTATAGGAGCTTGGTCAAGGACAGTGTTCTATAAACAAAATTCTCTCTTAAATTAAACAATGCATGATATTGAAATTTTTTATGTGCAGAAGACACATTACAGATTTTTTCAGAATTGTCAAATTTGAGGATCAGCAATTATATATGGCCTAATTATATGTGAACAATCAGCAAAAAATCTCTGCCTTACATGCAATCTCGTAAAAAAACAAAAAAAAAATGCATGTGATCATGGGTTAAATATATTTAAGTAATATAAATTAGAAATAATATTATTTTATTATACATGATGTATTATTATAGTTTCAAGCTATATAAACTATTTCTCATCCATGCTCAAGAATTCAATCTTATATTAACTAGGACATTGCATAACTTTAACTTATCATGATAGAATTCAGACCAAGCCAGAAAGAAAGAAGCAATCCCTGCAGTTAAGCACAGAATAGGCAATCTTCGTACCTGACAATCGCAGAGAGATGAACTTTGCGCTTGCCATCACAAATGAGGCTATCCTTGTACCTACTGGCAGACCATGGAAAACATGATCTTTGCATTGGCTGAGTATGGAGAGACAATCTGTGCACTTGCCATCAATTGTTTTGTTTGTTTTCAGCACCTATTTTCCACTTTTACATGTTTTCCAACTTTTACATGTTTTTTTTAGCAAAAAACATGTAAAAGTTTAAATACAGTGGTGCCTCGTATAACGTACTTAATCCGTTCCAGGTGCATGTCCGTTAAGTGAAAAGTCCGTTATACGAAATGCATTTTTGCATAGAAATACATATTAAACATATAATTCGTTCCACAGCATAAAATAACCGTACTGTACCATAAAAAAAAAATGAAAATGGAGCAGTCACCAATTATGCCAGGTAGTCAGATGTTGTGAGGAGAAGGTGGAGGAACACTCTCTTTACATATTCATACAGATACAGACTTTTTACACATTGCAGTAGGTCTCTTTTTATTGTTTTTTAATCGGATTCAGATTCAGGAGAGGCTACCAGAGCTTGCAGGGTCAACTCCACTTGTTCCATCCTTTGTTTTTTGGCAGCTGGCTTCTTGAAAAGCATGTCCAAGGTGATCTGTTTCTCTCTCTTCTTCAACACTTGTCGGAAATGATGGGCAAGGGTATCATTGTAGAGATCATTGATCCTGTTGGCCTCAGCTCTGTTTGGATAATGAGTGTTGGTAAACTCCTGAACCTCTCCCCATTTGACAAAGAACTTTTTGTCAACTTTCACTCCTGATGATGTCTTGCTTTGTTTCAATTGAAATCACCTTTCTGTTTTTTTTAAAAGCCATGATTTGCACAACACTTGAATAAATGTAAATACCCTGCACTGAGGTGATGTATGTAATTGCACATGATGTTTCCACTCTTGCCTATGCAAGAGTGGAAACATCATTCGCACTTGTTTGCAGAAAGACTGTTGTTCACCTCACGTAACTGCCGAACGAAAAGTCCGTTGTTCGCAGCGTCCGTTATTCGAGATGTACGTTATACGAGGCACCACTGTATTTTAAAAATAACTTTTTTTATATTTGCAAAGTTTTAGCAATCCCCTCAAACTTTCATCAATCCCTAAGGGTTCAATACTGACCCCATTGAGAAACCCTGCTTTAATAGGCCTATTTCTGTACATCAAAAATGAAGTCATGGACGTCTATTTTTTACATGTAAATGGACCCCCATTACATTTTTGGGTTCCTCATCACAATTAATGGAAAATGGCAAAGTTTTATCAAAACTGACCCATGATATTTTGAGAACAAACTCAATTCTATAAGCCCATAGAAGACATGCTAGCAACCATGGAATGTCACATGACAAAGTTGCATGCACTCATGCTACATCCTTATATCTTGAGAACAAAGTTATGGATCCCCCATTTTTTATTACAATTTTGGATTCCTAGTTGCAATTAATGGAAGTTGGCAAAGTTTAATCAAAATTGATTAAACAGATTTTGAGAACAAACACAATACTGTAAGCCACAGAAGAGGTTTAAAAAAATGTAACAGAGACTAAAAATGTCTTCACTTTTACCATGTCCAACCACCAGGAACAACAGTCTTCCACAGCAGAGGAAACCTTTCTTTAGAGGCTATGCCTCTGCAAAAAAATGTAAAACAGTCTAAGAGTTCATAGGTGACAATCCCAGCACAATTAAAAATATAATATTTCATTTGTAAATTTTTAGTCTCTGTTACGTTTTTTTAAATTGTAAATTCATCAGCCTTTTTTCCAAATCACATAGTAGAGGCTTTGCACTCAAAAATACATAAAAATAACTTAACAAGATTTTGGAAAAAATCAACAAATTAAATTTCACTATTTCATAAAACAAATTAGATTTAGTAAACTCAACTAAAATAAACTAAATCTAAGATGTATTAATTTCTAATTTAAAAGATAGCTTAATTACTTAACATTTTTATCCTTTAAACAATTCTGATATTTAAAAATTTTTTAATTTTAATTTTTGTGAACTTATTTTAAATTTATCATCCTTTTTGTCCGATTAGGCAAAACAACAATCCATACATTTGTGTAAAATGGATCATATCAAAAGATTTAAGATATATGAATATTTATTAATAACTAATCATAATTAAAAAATTTT